ATAATATATTTCATCACTAAGTTCTTCTGATGCTTCTCCCTGAAATTGTGGTTGAATATTATCTTAATTCTATCTTTAAGATTATTAAGGTGTTGTAGGCTTATATATTTATGGTTAATTTTATTATTATTAATAAAGCAGAGCAGAATTAGTTTGCACTTTTGAAGATGTCTATGGTTTCAAAGAGGATTATAGATTCTATCTTTAGTTTTTATCCATGAAAGGTTATTAAACTACAAATAAATCTCTTTTATAATCTTCAATATCATTATAATGTTATTAAATTTCAGCTTCAAATTTTGAGATCATTTCTTAGTAATATTTTAACTAAATATTCATTAAGTATATACTTTATTATGAATCCATTAAATCTCAAATTAAATAGTTGGGGCAGCAAATTATTATTTATCATTTTATAATTGTAGTTGGAGAGAATGAACTTATTAATCTTATAATTTAACTAAATCTAATTTAGCTTGTCCAACTAATGATTTCTTTTAGTTTCTATCTTAGATCAATAAACTTAAAGTTACATTCTCTCTTCCAGTTTTAATTTAGCTATATATAAATAAAATTTATTTTTACAATCCTAATTGCTCATTAAATATTGGATAAAACTTATCTCCTCCAGTTTATTAAGCTATTTATTCATTATTATCAACTGATATTGATACATAACTTTAAATAAAATCTTAAACTGTTATTCCTGAAGCTGACTTTATTATTAAATTAAGTGATGAATCAGTGTCTATACCATATTAATTTTATTATTGAGTGTCTTCTATATAAATTATAAATACATTGTATTTCTTATACTTGTCTTTAACAATCTCTTGATTCCTCAACCAACTACTAAATTTATTTTTCGGTATCATTAATCTTTTTCTTTAACATAGCATCAGCAGATATCAAAATCTGTGAAAATTCTTCAATTTAAACTTATCCTCTTTAATTTGGAGTACATTGTTCATAAATTTAAGTGGCTACATCTCTATCATAAGCTTAGCCTGTCTATGTTGATTATTCTTAAATTTTAATATACTAATTGATCTAAAGCTTAATATATCTAATCAGGTTAGTAAGCTTGTCCTTAATTTAATCCGACTCTCTAAAATGCTCCTAATATTTAGATAGCATTAGGTTAGAATTGCAACGACATATTTTAAATTAATTATATAATTTTTATAATTTGTATCATAGAGTTTGAGCTGATGTTGTAATTCAAATAATTAAATTTATGTTTAGTTATTCATTCAATTAATACTATCTATCTTATCTTTATTAAATTTAAATACAAATAAACTAAATTAGAAATACATAGAGATATTAAATCAATAACTCTATGTATCCTAATTTGAAAAGTAATAATTGAATATTAATATTGTCTCTATTCATTTTTAAGCAAATAGATTTTATATCATTAAATATTATATTAATATTCAAATATTTAATTATTGAAACATAGTTAGAGTCACAAACAGAATTTAAATAATTCATTTATTATGTTATAGTATTTTACTTACAAATATATTAACTTATTTGTAATTTTATATACAATAACATATATATTTTTGATTAATTTTACATCATTTTGGACTAAAAAATAGGAATATATATATAGATTGATAATTGATTAGTTCATTATATTAAAAATAATTCTAAAATAAATAAATGTTATACATAATTTATATAATTTTTAGTATATAATTAAAAATAATTTAATATATTTGAAGGGGGTAGTTAAATTTGCTAATATAAATTGTGGTAATTCATGAATCACACTTTAATTTAAAAAATAATATCCAATTAGGCACATGAATCACACCACTAAAATTAAGAAATTGCCTGTTACAGTACTTTGCGGTTTTTTAGGATCAGGAAAGACAACTTTAATGAATTATATTCTTAAATAGCGCCATGATTATAGAATAGCTGTAATCGTAAATGACATGGGAGAGATCAATGTCGATTCCAATTTAATAAAGGAAGGAAAGTTTAGTGTTAAAAAAACAAAAGAAAAACTTGTTGAAATGTCAAATGGATGTATATGTTGTACATTGAGGTATAGATAATATTTATTGTATTAGGGAGGATTTAATCAAACATATATCGAAGATAGCCAAGTCTGGGAAGTTTGATTATATGTTGATTGAGAGTACAGGAATAGCTGAGCCTTTACCAATAGCCTAAGCATTTTATTTTGAAAATGAAGAGATGAGAAAGAAGGGATAGATGTTGAAGAAGTTTGCTAGACTTGATACAATGGTCACTATGGTATCTTTTATTATTTATTATTTAGATTGATGCTTTGAATTTCTTAGATTAATTGTAATCAGATAAATTAGGTGAAGAAATGAATGTAGATAACAAATAGATGGATTAAATTCCATTATCATAATTGTTATTGGATCAAGTTGAGTTTGCTAATGTTATAATATTAAATAAAACAGATCTTGTGGATTAAGAAAGAAAAGAATTTATATTAAATCTACTTAAAAAATTGAATCCTAATGCTAAGGTTATTGAATCTATATAAGGATAAATAGATTTAAAAGAAATTATAAATACTAAATTATTCAACTTTGAAAAAGCCTCTACAACTGGAAAGTGGATAGCTGAACTTTAAAAACCAATTCATAAAAGTGAAATTGAAGAATATGGAATCTAATCATGTGCTTTCAAATCAAGAAGAGCATTCCATCCTGAAAGACTATTTTAACTTATAGAAAGAAATAATACAGAAGAAGTCTCATTTTGGAATTCAATAATAAGATGTAAAGGATATATGTGGGTTGCAAGTTGGGAAAGATTAAACATTCATATACATAAGGCTGGAACCTAATTGACATATCATCCTGGTTCATTTTGGTGGATATCTATACCTAAAAAGGTTTGGGCTGATACTAAAGAAGAAGTTGATGTAAATTATTTGATTATATTTATAGGCTATTTGGGATGGACTTAAATAGAATTGGTTACCTGAACCTATTGGAGATAGAAGATAAGAACTTGTGTTTATTGGATAAAATTTACCAAAATAAGAAATTTTAGATGCATTTGAAAGTTGTTTATTAAATGAATAAGAAATGATTTCATTTTTATAAAATGGATGGGATAATACAAATGATCCATTTCCAAAAGATTGGGGAAAATTAGTAAAAGAATTTGAAGATCTTGGAGAATTAAGAGGTAATGAAGGAGAATGGGAAGATGTATGGGATGAAGATGGAGAAATGTAAGAAGAACATTAAGAAGATCTATCTATGTAAGAGGAAGTTTAATAATAATAATTGATAAATTGATTAAATTTAGTATGTCTTAATATATTATGATCATTAAATAATAATTATTTAAAGACTATATTAGTTTAATTTATAATTAAAGTATTTTCTATTTGTTAAAATTTTAATTAATGAATAATCCAGAAGTAATATATGCTAATCTAACAGGAGATTCAGAGCGTAACAATTTATCTTTATGAAATAGCTTACATTACTGATAGTTTATGTGTAAATTGTGAATAACAAGGTAAAACAACAATTTTATTAACAAAAATACCTATGTTTTCAAATATTATTATTATTTCTTTTGATTGTGAACAATGTGGATATAAAAACAATGAAGTTTAATTTGGTGGGGAAATCAAAGACAAAGGAATTAAATTGAGTTTAAAAGTCACTGAACCTTAAGTAATAATTATTTATAATTTTAGGATCTTCAAAGATAGATCATTCGATCAGAGTTCTGTAAAGCTATGATTCCAGAATTAGAATTCGAAATGCCATCTAATAAGAAAAGTAGTATCAATACTTTAGAAGGATTCCTTACAAATATTATTGATGACTTATCGCATGATTAATCAATTAGAAAGTATACTTAAGTTTAAGTATATGATCGAATTGAATATATAATTGAAAAATTAAAAGAATTTAAAGATGGTTAAGGATTACCCTTTAATTGGATAATGGAAGATCCTTCAGGAAATAGTTTCATTTAAAATTTAAATGAACTTTAAGATGATCCTTAACTTAAAATTTAAAATTACATAAGAACAATAGAAGAGTTGGAAGATATGGGATACAGTGCTGAAAATTAAAAATAAGAGAATTAATAATTAAAATAATAATAATAAGTAATAACTGACCCAATTCATTAAGGTACTGAATAAATTTAAGCTGGTGGATAAAATTTCAATTAATCAATAGAAGATTCTGTAAAAAATGAATCTATCAATATTCCAACACCATGTAATGTTTGTAAGGAAATGGGAGAAAATAAAATGTGTACAGTTACTATTCCACATTTTAAGGAAATTCTTATTATGAGTTTTAATTGTGGATATTGTGGATTCAAAGATACAGAAGTTAAAGCAACAGGTGAGATTAGTAAATAAGGTAAAATTATAGAATTGAAATTTGAAAATGAAAATGATTTATGTAGAGATGTATTTAAATCAGATACTGCAAAATTGATAATTCCTGAAATTGAATTAGAATTAGGAACAGGTACATTAGGTGGAGTATATTCAAATGTTGAGGGATTATTAGAATAAATACTTACACGTTTAAGAGATACTGTATATATTATAATTTATAAGTAGAATCCATTCGTTGGTGATAGTGCTGATGATGATTATAAAAAAAAGATGGAATTATTCTTTTTGAAATTAGAAGAATTCAAATCAGGAAATTCTAAATTTACTTTAATAATAAGAGATTTAGTTGAAAATAGTTTCATTCAAAATCCTTTTTATCCAAATAAAGACAATTAAGTTAAAATAACTTTGTTTGATAGAACTCCAGAAGACAATGATGAATTGGGAATAGATACAATGAAAACAGAAAATTATCAGAATTGATCAAAAATTTATTATTTATTTTAATGACTATTTGATTAGAATAAGCAAGCATTTAAATATTTACTAATTAATTCTGATGACTATTTGATAGTGTTTATAACTATATCTAAAATGAAATCATAAATTTATTTATTCAAACAACCAAAACAAAACCAATATGGATAAGAAAAGTTTAAGTATTAATGAAGAAATCCTCTCATAAATAAATTTAAATAATCAAGATCTCAATTCAGCCATTAAAGAATAATTTGATGATGATGGTGTAGAATTCACTAATTTATGTAATTAATGTGGTTAAGATGGAATCAATAAGATGTGTAAAATCACTATTCCTTTTGTTAGAGATCTAATTATCATGTCTTTCTCTTGTAATGAATGTGGATATAGGGATACAGAAATCAAAGGAGCTAATGGTATTACTCCATAAGGAAAAATGTTTAGATTATATGTTAATAGTTAAAATGATTTGAAGAGAAATGTATTTAAATCTGAAACAGCAAGCTTATAAATTCCTGAAATTGAATTGGAAATGTGCACTGGTACTTTAGGAGCTGTATTTACTACAACCTAAGGTATCATCTCTAAGGTTTTAGATCATTTAAGGGATAAAACACCTATCTATAATAGTGATGATCCATATCGTGATAATAAATTACAAAAAGTTTTCGATTAATTATAGGCTTTTCATGATGGGACTAAAAGCTTTACACTTATCATCAGAGATTTGATCGATAGTAGCTTTGTTTCCAATGTTGGAGAACCTAATACAGATTATAATTTATAAGTTATTACTTTTGATAGAACAGAGGAAGACAATGATGAATTAGGAATAGATACTATGAATACTGAAAATTACTTTTGATTAATTACAATATATTCATTTCCTCCTATACATATTTAAATGCACTTAATCCATTCAAAAATGTTTTCCTAAGTATTAACTGAAGAGTTCATAAACTAGAAATGTTATACTATTTGTAGGTAATACTCTTATTAAATCTGGTATTAATCCTTTGTAGAATCCTCCAATGGAATCTTATTCATATATAACTCTACAAATATCAATAATTCTAACTCTTGATCTGAGACCACTCTTATATACAGTTTTATTATCATGTAATCTAGTTCGTATAACCACATGAGGATAGGTTACTAAAACAGCGATTGCTATAAATTAATGTATTTAAGAGAAATTACACTTTGATAATATAGAGGCTTTAAGAATATCAGCTGGTAAAAGCTAATTGTTCTTATCAGTATAATTTTATTTTAATCTCTCGTAAATTGGAAATTATACTGCTACATGAGATAGACCTAATACTGTAGCTCCAAGACCTTTATATAAAGCAAGGAAGCCTTCCTAAAATCATATTTAATTCTTAACTTCTTTATATAAAGTAATCAATCCTCTAAAAACAGATGTATATTTTGGATGATTATGATCATGCAAGTATTACGTTTGCATTCTAGTTCTGATTAACTTTTAATAAGAGTTTATTGCATTAATATACCCATAAAGGATTTGTAATTAAATCACAAACAAATCCTGTGATGATGGTTGCCAAAAGGTGATTCTAAAAACCAGTTATTTCATATGAAATTTCTAATTTTTCCTTGTTCCATTTATAAAGAGGAAAGAAAAGTGAATGAAATATGGGATTAGCAATAGCTGTTGCTCTATATCCTTTAATATGATATTGAATGAATTCTTACCTTTGTAATAACCTGCAAGACCTTCTTCTTTATAGATAACACAAAGAGTGTTAATGAAACCTTAATATTTATTAATAGATTTAGTAGCATTCTTAAAATTGTTAATTTATTACTTAGAGATTCAATCTGCTTCTTGCTACTTCTAAAGGATGACATACAGTTACACTTATGAATCCTCCAATTAACCCAGCAATAAAATGATGCCAATATAATTTTTTGTTTTATTCTTTATTCATTTTATTTTAATAATATTTACATTCAAAATAGATGTATATCAATAGAATTATTTTGATAACATCCTATTAATAAAGTAGTATATAAATAACAATAATAAACTTAAAATATATTTAAATAATTGGAATTCATAGTAAATCGATTAAGAATTTAGGAAGGTTTTTATTAAAATATAAATTTTTGAATCTTTAAAACATATATATATATATAAATGTTTTCAATAAATAAAAATTCAAAAAATTTCACAACAACTCTTTTTATTCATATCTTTAGATTATTTATAGAACATTTTTGCTCCAGCTGATAAATCATTACTCTTAGCTACTAATTAATCCAAATCACCCTATCTTTCCAATAGTTTTTTTATATTTTCATGTAATATGATATTAGTTTCATCAACTTTTGTTTATGCAAGTAACACTTTATCAACATTCTTTGGATCCTAATATTCTTAGAATAACTTTATGTTAACTTCAAATTAGTACTTATTTAATTTCTGGAACTTCTATGCTTTCATCTTCTTTATACTTTTTCCAATCATCTCCTACTTTTTTCTAAAAAGCTTGTAAAACTGCATTTAAAAATGCAAATGCTATTCTTTTAGGATAATCTTAATCGCAAAATGCATAAGCTCCTAATTTATCATTTCCATAACTCATTTAAATATGACAATATTTATCTTCATGCATTACTGAATGTCTTCAAATCAATTTGATTAATTACCTAGTTCCTTTGTCAAGTCCAATTACTGATTCTCTACAAACAAACTTCATTGAATCCTTTACAGTATTTCTATAGAATATTCCTACTGAATTTAATTCATAATATCTTGTTAGCATAATAACTTTCTTTTCAACGGGATTATATACAGCAATTAACACAGCTATTAATTACATTTTATTTTAATAATATATTATAATATATAAGTTAAGTAATTTAAATAATAATAAATCATTATATTTAAGGTACTAAAGAAAATTTAAAAGTAAATTCATTATTAGCTTGTATAATATCTAAATGATTATAAACTCCAAATTTAGAGAGAATTAATTAAGTGATACTTATATTCAGTAGTAAATTTATAGGAATCTAAAACTATTATGTTAAATAACTAATTCTTTCTAAGAGTGATTAATGAATAGTATTTTTATGAAAAAATCCTTTAGGAGATTTGACCCAATTAGTTTATAAAATTTCTAATATTTTTGTTTAAATAATTTTATCCTTCTCTTTTATTTTAATAGAGAAGAATATTTCAGTATTTTAATTCTCTATAAGTATTTGTAGAATTTTAACATCTTTAAATATATGTTAAATTATGTAAAAGCAAGAAATTAATAATTGTTAAATTATGGCAATATCATGAGTAAATGACTTTTTAAGTATTAAATTCTAAGAATCAAGTTCAATTAGTGGATCAAGTACATTTTATAATGAAATTTGAGTGATATCTGTTAATTTGAGACGATTTGATTTATGTTAAAAAATGATTTAAATATTCTGTATGAAATTATGATTAAAATAGAATTTTTAATAGGGAAATCTTTATTTAATAGATATTTGATTAAATTTAGTTATCATTTTAATTAAAAAAGAGGATTATTCATTTGCTGTTTCAGTTATATTTTAAAGTATACTCCATAAAACTTAGGTTTAATTATAAAAATATTTTTTTTTTGGATCAATGATCAATAAACATTATAATTTATTATTAAATACACATCTGAGTATTTTGACATTATAAAATTTTTAAGTTTATTAATGTTGAACAGTATATTTATAAGTTTTAAAAGTATCAGCAAATTCTTGTGTATGAATTAAGAATCTCCTTAAAGTTTTTTCCATATTAATATGAATTAAATTTGAGACACTATCTTCAGGATCATTACTGGAAGTTACAATCAACTAAAAAATATGAAAAATATTTATACTTATCTCAATAATTATCGCAAATTTTCTCCATCTTTCAATCTAAATAAAATAGATGAAAATTTATTTTCCTTCTCTAGTTACAATTAATCCTATTTCTTATCATGTGATACAAGTAAAATTGAACTTGACAAGACTTTCGATAATAATTATTCCCATCTTTCTTATTGACAACTCTAAAAATATTGTTCTTTTTTTGTTTTTTCATAATTATACTTTATAGCAATCATATTCATGGCCAAAAAAACAAAAAGAAATATATTTATAATTCCATCTTTAATATCTATATTATCTTAATATAAATGAACTCCAATAATAACAATTAGCAAAAAGGTTTAATAAATGAAATTAGCACTTAAAAGATAAACATTAAAATGTAAATATCCACATTAAAATCCATAATACCAAGATTAATCTAAGGTTGGATTAGAAGTACCTTCAAATAATTAAGGTATTTTAAAAGCACAAAGTAAAAACACTTGATAAATTGTTACAATCAAATTTATTAAATGAGGCTTTCTTTATAGTATTTTCCATAGTATCAAAATAATAATAATAGATATTCCACTAAGTATAGAATAAGGAATAGAATCTCGTAAGATAAATTTTATAGTATTTAGAATACAAAATGACTAAGAGTACAAATCGATTAATTACAACTGAATAGATGGTGAAGTATGTTACTTCTCTAAGTTTAGATTATTTGGAATAGTTTTCGTATTGTTCAGCTTAATCCTTAAATAGAAATTCAAGAGTGTACTTATTGAGCATTATTAATTATCAATAATATAATCACTCTTATCAGTAATCTAAATGTTTAGATTGATTTAAATATCCTATTTTTGTTAATTTCAATTGAAATCTAAATCAGAATCAAAGATAAATATCAAATATAATGTTAAAATCATACAAATAATAATGTAATATTAATAATTTATTAATACTTCACAATTTTGTATTCTTGGTCACATCATGGAATGCTTCAGCAACATACTTAACATTTCCTTCATTTAATCCTGCAATTGATATTCTTCCACTACTTAATAAATAAATATGATATTTAGCAATCAATTCTTTTACATGATCTGGACCAACACCCTAAATATATAAATTAAATTATTACAGTAAATGCAAACATACCAATTTATTTAGATATGTGTGACCAATCATGAGGAGAACCTAGATTCTTTAAAGTTTCAGCTAAACTTACTCTCATTAATTAAATTCTATTTGCCATCATTTTAACTTCAGATAACCATAATTAATTAAGTTCTGGTGTATTGAGAATGATATCAGCCACTCTAGCACCATGAAGTGGTGGACTTGACCATAATGGTCTAGCTAACAATTTCAATTATGAAACAACTTTCTCTTTTTCTTATTAATTAGCACATACAAAACTAAGACATCCTGTTCTTTATCCATATAATCCCATATTTTTAGCAAAAGATTATCCTAAAACAATAGAAACTCCTTAATTTGTAAATAATCTAACTGCTTCAGCATCTTTATTTACATCTCCACTTGTGAAACCTTAATAAGCCATATCAAAAAATGGAAGGAAATTCTTTTTTTTAGTCAAATCTAATAATTATGTCCATTAAGCTGATGTCAAATCACAACCAGTAGGATTGTGAGCACAAGCATGGAATAAGATAACTGATCCATTTTAAGCCTTATTCAAATCTTCTACTAATCCAGAAAAATCAACTCCACGTGTTTTTGGATCAAAATAACGATATTCCAAAATTTCTAATCCTGCCATTCTAGCAATATTATGATGATTTGGCCATGTTGGATTTGGCATATATACTTTTGTACCTTAAGGTAAGAATTTCTTAGCAAATTCAAATCCAAGTCTAACTGCACCTGTTCCACTCAATACTTAACATCCTGCAATACTTTTTCCATTTTAAGCATAATAAGCATCTCCATAACCTAATTTAATAGAAGCATCAATAAATGATTGAAGTCCTTCAACTGGAAGATATTCATTATCTAATTTCTTTTCCTTTATTATTTATTCAGCCTATTATATATAAATTTAGTTACTCTCTTAACTGACTCAAGTACAACTGGCTTTCCATCATTATCACGATAAGCTCCTATACTTAAATTTNTAATACTTCACAATTTTGTATTCTTGGTCACATCATGGAATGCTTCAGCAACATACTTAACATTTCCTTCATTTAATCCTGCAATTGATATTCTTCCACTACTTAATAAATATATATGATATTTAGCAATCAATTCTTTTACATGATCTGGACCAACACCCTAAATATATAAATTAAATTATTACAGTAAATGCAAACATACCAATTTATTTAGATATGTGTGACCAATCATGAGGAGAACCTAGATTCTTTAAAGTTTCAGCTAAACTTACTCTCATTAATTAAATTCTATTTGCCATCATTTTAACTTCAGATAACCATAATTAATTAAGTTCTGGTGTATTGAGAATGATATCAGCCACTCTAGCACCATGAAGTGGTGGACTTGACCATAATGGTCTAGCTAACAATTTCAATTATGAAACAACTTTCTCTTTTTCTTATTAATTAGCACATACAAAACTAAGACATCCTGTTCTTTATCCATATAATCCCATATTTTTAGCAAAAGATTATCCTAAAACAATAGAAACTCCTTAATTTGTAAATAATCTAACTGCTTCAGCATCTTTATTTACATCTCCACTTGTGAAACCTTAATAAGCCATATCAAAAAATGGAAGGAAATTCTTTTTTTTAGTCAAATCTAATAATTATGTCCATTAAGCTGATGTTAAATCACAACCAGTAGGATTATGAGCACAAGCATGGAATAAGATAACTGATCCATTTTAAGCCTTATTCAAATCTTCTACTAATCCTGAAAAATCAACTCCACGTGTTTTTGGATCAAAATAACGATATTCCAAAATTTCTAATCCTGCCATTCTAGCAATATTATGATGATTTGGCCATGTTGGATTTGGCATATATACTTTTGTACCTTAAGGTAAGAATTTCTTAGCAAATTCAAATCCAAGTCTAACTGCACCTGTTCCACTCAATACTTAACATCCTGCAATACTTTTTCCATTTTAAGCATAATAAGCATCTCCATAACCTAATTTAATAGAAGCATCAATAAATGATTGAAGTCCTTCAACTGGAAGATATTCATTATCTAATTTCTTTTCCTTTATTATTTATTCAGCCTATTATATATTAATTTAGTTACTCTCTTAACTGACTCAAGTACAACTGGCTTTCCATCATTATCACGATAAGCTCCTATACTTAAATTTACTTTTTAAGTGCTTGGATCAGCTTTGAATTAAGCAGCTACTCCCAAAATAGGATCAGCTGGTCCCATAGGTACTTAAGACCATACAGAAAAGTATCTCAAAGCTCTTAAACACTACATGTTGAATATCTTTGAATAAATTAATTAATTCTAATAAAAAGTATGTCATATTAATATATAATACGGATCTTTTTTATTTTAATCACATAATATAAATTAATAATATACTACTTATATAACTCAATTATTGTTTAATATAAACAAAAACAAAATAAAAATTGTATATATTCATAATTGCATAATTAGTTTTAAAATGATATTATGAATTCAGAAATTAAGAATTAATTAATTCTAATATACCAATATAAATTCAAATTCATGATTGTTTAGCTTTCCATGTATCGAATGATTGGCTTCCTTTTTTGATTTATGCATCTAAATGGTAAAATAATCCTGGAAAAGCAGAATAAGCTTGGGCTTTAGCATATAATTTTTCTGCTTCATCAACTGATGATGCTTAATCCTCCAACATTGAACCTATAAATTTGTGTGTTAATATCTCTTCATGTTATTATGCCTATTTTCCTATCTAATCAAGTAAAGAATAATTCAAATGCTCTCTTGCTAAGTAGGCTTCAAAATAATCTCCAGGTTTTTCAAAATGAATCTTCAGATTTTAGAAAGCTGTTTATTATGGATCAATAGTCACTTGAACACCTCTTACATTTAAGTAATCAAATATCTAAACACTATGTTTTCTTTCCTCTTCACTTTCCGCTTTGAAAAATTTTCCAATTCCTTCAAAATTGTTATTATCAAACCAATAAGCATATTAAAGATATAAGAAACTAGATTATAACTCTACATGGGCTTATCTTGATAATAAATTAATTATTTCCTTATTTGTTAATTCTGCTAGTTTTTTCATTCACTTTAATTAATTATTTATGATTTGATTTTTAGTTATATTCATTTATCAATTTTAAATCTAATATATATTGAATTATAATATTTATCAAATAGGATTTATCCAACATCCTGGTCCCAATAATTCATTACAATTAGATATGAAACCTTTATCATAGTGTTCTTGTTATTTTTCAAAATATTCAACATTTGTTTGATTATTTATTATTAATCTTTATTTAAATATATTTCTACTTGGAATGAAATCCTAAACAGCAAAATACTCCAATCATAAGTGCAAAGCTTGAAAGAACTGTAAAAATTATAAAAAATGTATCAATCTAACCAGTAGGAGGAACTTTTATAACTTTAGTTAAAAAAATAAAAAAGTAAAAAATTAAAGTTAGGGCTCTAAATATTTATATTAAATTACTCAAATAAAAGAGCAAGCAAAAATAATATTTGTAATTATTCTACCCTATACAATTATTAAACCAAAAAGAATGATCATTCATTCTTAATATGCATTTATTACAAACAGCACAATGATGACATCGTAATGGTTTCTTAATTTAACAATGTTTACAAATCTTTCTCCATTCAACCAAAGGGTCATCTTCTGTATATTAATATGTAGGTGTTCCTGGTTATGTAGTGATTGTTTTATAAAATAAATATATCACAACCAACAATAATAAATGATGTAAAATCAACAATACAATTTCTATTTCTTCTGGATTTATGAAAATCTATTTTTGAATGTTATTTTTACATAAATCATCATTATTTCCATGTATGCAATCATGAAAATCACTAAATAAATTGGGGCCCAAACACATATTTAATTAAAATTCATAAGAATTATGATGAATATAAATTAAAAACTCTACACTTTTTTTTTTTTATTAAAAGTTATTATTAACTTTTTTAAAGATTTGCTCATAATCTTACTCTCTATACTAAATTAAATTCATAAAATAAAATACTTCTTTATTTCCTATTTAATATTGATAATTGATAAAATCAATCAATAAGTTTAAATGCCAAAACTATATTATTAATATTGAATAATCATATAAATTTTATATAATTCTAAAAAATAAATAATTTTTAATTGGTTTAATTAATTAAATGTACAAACTATCTTTATTATTAATTCTTTTTTTTCAGAATATTCGTAGAAGTAAAAAAACTATAATATGCTAATTAAATATATATCCATATGTTTTAGAGAGAGATCACTATTGTAAAGCATTTATCAATCATTATGATATTATTTAAGAATATTTAAGAATACATTGATAATATTATTTAAGCAATGAGATGAATAAGATTTGGATAATTCTTATTAATACTTTTATATTATTATTCTAAAGAATACATTCATTAATTCAACAATTTTTCGATTTCTTGTTTCATCTCTTTTGGTTTGACATCTGGATTATAAAATCTGACTACTTAACCCTATGAATTTAGTAAGAATTTTCCGAAATTCCATGGTACTTCTTTTGCTTCATTAGAACTGACTTTTAATGAACTGTTTAATCTCAAATATCTATATACTTCATGAGTATTTTAACCATTCACTTCAATTTTTCTTTAATATTTTTAAATCATTACTAAAACAATGGGAAGGATACTCCATACTTAGAGAGAACAAATTCTTTGATTTCAGGTTCAGGTTTGGATTCTTAACCCATAAATTAATTACATGGAAATCCTAAGATTTCTAAACCTTAAGCACTAAAATATTATTCTTTGATACTTATATGTTTTATAAAGTTCAACAAGCTCACTGTAATTTGAAGATGTTAATCCACAAGAACAAGCAACATTCACACAAATGTAAGCTTTTTTGCCTTTGAATTAAGATAATTAAGTTTTCTATCCATCTATATTATTAAGTTCAAATTCAAAGAATGATTTTGTTGGTGGTTGAAGTTTATCTACTCCTTTCTTAAAAAATAATGCTCCCATTTAAAAATTTCTGAGTTCTTAAAATTAAATTAATAAATTTAAGAGAAATTTTTGCTTGTATTTATAGCTTTAATTAATGATGTAAATTTATTGTCATGACGATTTAACAACGTATTATAGAATAAAATATATATAAATATATACAATAATAATTGTTAGTTTCCTTAATAATTGTTTTATTATTTTAATTCCTTCTTAAAGTACAAGAGAAATCAATCTAAGATTCTTTTGTAGAATTTAGAACTTTATTATTTTTCTTAATGTTTCTATCTATTAATTTTTATGTTTAGTCACAAAAAATTAGAAAATTTATGTTTAAAACCATAAATAGATATAAAAATAAAAATATTTAAAAAATACATATTATCTCACTAATTCAATAGACCTTCTTACTCATCATCAGCTGCTTATCTTTTAATTAAATCTTTTTCCATTTTTCTTAGTTATTAAATTTATTGATCTATTATTTATTAAGCTTTAGTTCCAAGAGGATGATTTGGAATATCTGACACATTTATGTATTTATTTGTTGCCCAATTTCCTTCTCCTTTACTAGTAAACAGTGGTTTAAGGAAAGAAATCCAATTATAGAGAAATCCTTTGTCAAAGGGATTTCCAAACATTCCCCTTTCATTAGCCCATAAATAGGAATATCTTCTCCATTATCCTAATTCTTATGGAGTTATGTTATAAGAAATCTAATATATTATTAATAATTATACTCTTAATAAACACAATATATATTATTGACCAAAATAATAAAATTGATGGACATTAATCACTATAATGAGTAAATCAAAATATGATTTTTCTTGTATTCTTTCTACTAATGTGAATTATCTAAGTATAGTAAAACAATAGAAGGTCCAAAAAAATATATACATAACCAGGAATGGATAATTGAATACACCAATGCATGTATTTAATTACATTGAATGAAATTCCCATCTTATAATACATCTATATTAATAAAATTAGTTAGATACTTTTGACAATATAGACAATGTTATGATCGAACAACTTTAGGAATTGAACACAAAACACAAATATTTCTATTCATTTTAGAGAGAGTGAATAGTTCTGGTTATGTATTTAATAATTCTTTGAAATCAGCTTATTTGAATTAGCCTGCAGGACATAATAGAAGTATGAAGTAAGTAAATAATATTGCATATATGATATACAAAATGTAATTCTAAATGAATAATTTTGTAGTGATACCAATTCAGGATAAGTTTCATAATTTAAATAGAGTATAAGTCCATGAACAATGAAATAATAGATGGAAAGACCTCCAAATAATTTTCTTAATATATTGTCTGGTAAAACTTAATTAAGAAATCCATTTATTTTGTAAATTGGTGTCAAGAGAGTCTAGCTATATGATAGTTGGATATTATTACTAAATCAATATATAAAAATAATAGCCTTAAGCCATCATAGGTAATTACATAAAGATTTGCATAGCATAATCACCATTAAGTATAGCATACCAAATAAAGACTCTCATTTCTTTTGGAACATTTGCAAATGGATTATATGAATGTTAATGATGATGATGATGTTCATGCTAATGATTATGTTAATGTTAATGATTATGATTGCAACATTCTTTTTTTTTGCTTTCTTATTATTTTATATTGATTGGAACATGGCCTGGATTATCCATATCCATATTTGAACTCATGGACTGCATAGAAATTTAATAAATTAAATTTTATGGATCTTTGTGTTTTTGGGGTTGATGATGGTTATGCTGAAGCCATAATTAGAGGATTAAGAGCAAGTTTCTTAACTGAAGCTCAATACTAATAGATGAAGAATTGTGCTTCAATTCCAGAATTAAAATCTTTCTTAGAAGAAACAGATTATTAAGTAAACATGACAATTATTAATATAGAATTGCTTATAAGCTGATAATCCTTAAATACCTACATCCATTTTAAGATAGAGACTTAAAAAGAAATTGGCTGATGAATTTGAATATATTGAAGCTCAATCTACCGGAACACTTACAAAATACTTATTTCATTTAAGGTATGATTTATTAATTCATTATAAAAGATGTCGTTTTATGATTGATAATGTAGTCAATATGATAGAAGGATTAAAGAATAAAATTGATATTGAAATACTTTTGAGTAATATTGATCCTTTAGGTTGGTTCCCAGAAATCAAAAATATTAAAGTTCTTGAAGGAGATGATTATAGCAGTTTATATAGAGATGTACTTATTGATACACCTATTGGTGTCTATTTTATGAAATTCTTGGAAGAATCTATAGAGAATTTACATGAAAACAGAACATTGAATGACATCTAAAATTTATTCAGAGAAATGAAACCTGAATACATCAGAACATCACTTAAAAAAATGTGGTTGGAAGATTTCTATCTATTTTGTGAATAAGAAGTATAATATTCAATTAAATTAGTTAATGCCAACATCTTAGGAAGTACTCTTAGAATTATTAAAATTTGAAGCAGATTTTAAAACTATTTAGGTTATTTACAATTCAATAGGAAATAGAGATCTTAATACAGCAGCTAAAATTATAACAACAAGAAAATAATTATGTCCAACAATTGGAAATTTATATCCTGATTGTGAAAAGATGTATTTATAAGCCATGACATTGGATACACTTAGAGAAGCTGTTAAAGGTTGTGATAATTATAGAGATTTACTCAAAGATGCTCCTGATCCTTTGAAGAGAGAAGAATTTAATGTATAAACAAAGTAAATTGATATATCTACTATTATATAGAACACTTGATGATATTATGTATGATGATGAATGTAGAAGATATGCTCTTGCATTTGATGGATAAGGTTCATATGGAGTAATATTAACTATTTATATATTAGGTCTTCTATTCTTATTTGAAACTTAAAGAATAAGAAATTAGAAATATTATATGGTTAGCAGAAATGATTTCAAGAAAGCTTGCAAAAAATCACCCAGGATGGAAAAAAATTATTATTCCCTTCAGTCACCTTGGAAAATGAGGATTAAATGCATAATATATATATTAATATATTGGTTATATTAAATATCAATCATTATAAAAAAATTAATTCATAAATTCCTAAAAAATATAAGAAATTAAAAAATTATAATATATTACTTTTGTATGATATATATAAATTTATTATATATCATTCTTCCTTTGGAACTGCATTGTCTTACATTACTTTAGAATATGAGCATTTTTCAAATGCATATCCATCGGCTTTGAAGAATTTATTCTGAAATTCAACCCAATGAAGACGCAAGGCATGAAGAAAACATTCCATCACATCCATCATCATTAAAACTCCGAAAGTAGCCATAGAGAAGATGGAATAACCAATTAAAAGCTATAGATAAATAAATGGAATAAAAATACTCTTATTGCACCAACAAAACCTCCACTACTAATTCCTCCATTCAAACACATTTAGAAAAATACTTCTGCCAATTAACCATGAGCCAAAGATAATGCCCACAATCTCAAATAAGAGGCTGTATTTGAAATAGATCCCAATACAAATTCAATAGTTTCAATTACTTGATGTACAAATATATCACCAAATTCTTCGTGATGTTCACCACCAGAGGATGCAGCATGATTTTCTGAATTCTCTTGAGTGCCTTCAGAATCCTTAAAAAAAATATTATAAAAAAATATTACTTCATTAATTTTTTAATAAAGATCTTTATTCAAATTCTCTGACAGATTGTTTGCATTTAAAGCATAACGTTTTTTATTTTGAGAATTAAGTATAAGTGGTTTTGGAAGAAGGATAATAGGAATGCAAAATAGTGCGATCAATAACATAGCAGTTTAAGTTGATGCTTCTGATATACCATCTCCCCATAAAGGTGGATTAACCGG